TGCGATATCTGTTAATTGAATAAGCTAAATTGTCTGTAGGGTATGTGTGTGAATTCAAGAGTGTATGGGTGTTTCTCAGTGTTAGGTCGAGGCGGGAAGGGCATCCGCCGCATAAAATGTATGTTGAATTAGTTGTCGGTTTATTCTGCTGTAGTGATCCCCTATGAATAAAGGGACTAAGCCAAAAAGAAAATGAATGAATGAAAATATGTTTTGTTGATCAGTTGATTTCTATCTTTGCATTGTTACATTGGGTAGTCCCACCCGCAGTAAATTCTCATTGGCACAAAGTCTTGCTCTGTGATGCTCTACCTTAAATATCAAACCATCTTGTGATCATCTGTGAATATGTGCAGAGGGTTTACTTATTGCATTGTATCTTAAAAGGGTCCTGGCTATTAAAGGGATAGTTCACCCAAAAATGAAAATTCTGTCATCTTTTACTTACTTTTTATTTGTAAATCCTACTTGACTTTATTTCCTTCTTTTTTATTTTATTTTATTATTTTTTTTAAATAAAAAATAGGATATTATAAAGAAAGCTGGAATGCTGTAACTATTGACTTCCATAGTATTTGTTTTTTTCTACTATTGAAATGGTTACAGTTTTCCAGCTCTTTTCTCCAAAATATCTTGTTTTGTTCAGCAGAAAAAAACGTATAATGGTTTGAAACCACATGATGATTTAATATAATGTAAATTGTATCCCTAACTAAAATATATTGAAGGATTCATGTCAGAATTACAAAAAAAACAAACAAAAAAAAAACACAATTCAATTAAATCGACATTTACATATGGTTTCCTCCATTAATTTAGGTACACAGTGCATGGCATCATATAGTTGCACACACTGAAAAAAATATTATATATAATTATATAATTTTATATATATTATTTATATAATTTTTTTAAGGTAACTGGTTGCAAACCATATGGGCTGAAATTACACAAATTTAATTAATTTATTATTTATTTATTTGTTTAAATTTAACCCATATAAATAGTTGGCAACCAGTTAGCTTAATTTTTGTAAATTTAATGAATCACTTTTTTCAGTGAATATTAAACTGGCATTGAATACAAATACAAAATAGTGATGCAATACCACATCATTTGACGTAATTTTCTATTAAGGGGCAACATGATGCAATATTATTGCAATTTTCTTTTTTTACATATTGGGATATTCTGTTATACACTTTCTGTCTACTTTATCAGGTACACCTTACTAATACTGGGTTGGACCCCCTATTGTCTTCAGAACTGCCTTAATCCTTCATGTCAGATTCAACAAGGTACTGGAAATATTCCTCAGAGATTTTGGTCCATATTGACATAGCTTCACGCAGTTGCTGCAGATTTGTTGGCTGTACATCCATAATGTGAATCTCTCATTCTACTACATCCTAAAGGTCCTCTATTGGATTGAGATTTTGTGACTGTGGAGGCCATTTGAGTACAGTGAACTCATGGTCATGTTCAAGAAACCAGTCTAAGATAATTCTGCTAAATGTAGCAATTAGAAGACGGATAGACTGTGGTCATAAAGAGATAGACATGGCCAGCTCAGGTAGGCTATGGCACTGACACAATGTTCAATTGGTACTAATTGGACCCAAAGTGTGCCAAGAAAATATCCGCCACACCATTACACCACCACCACCACAAGCAGCCTGAACTGTTCATGCAAGGCAGGATATATCCATGCTTTCATGTTGTTGATGCCAAAGTCTGACCCAAATGTCGCAGCAGAAATCAAGACTCACCAGACCAGGCAACATTTTCCAATCATATGTTGTCCAATTTCTTATTATGTATGCTAAGGAAAACTTTGGCAACTTCTGTTTTAACTAAACATGTAAAAAAAGTTTTATGATTTCACTTCATATTTATTGCAGCAGTAAAATAATGTGATTTGCGAACAAACTTACCAGAACTTTAATGAAACTTGTGATACAAGTTGTTTGCACCTTTCTGCAATGCAGTGGATCCATCCACCAAATTTCTTTCACTTATCTGGCTGCCATCTTTATTTTACTAACTTGCAGACCAATCTCACCAGAAAGAAACTCAATTTTGACACCACCATCTAGTGACCTGTAAATAAATTGATTTTACTATTCAATTAATTAATTATAATACAAGTATAGTAACATGTTCTCCCTGTGTTCCGCTTTCCCCCACAGTCCAAAGATGTGTGATATAGGTGAACTGAATAAGCTAAATCGGTCGTAGTGTATGTGTGGGTGTGATTGTAAGAGTGTATGGGTGTTTCCCATTGCTGGGTTGTGGCTGAAAGGGCCATAAAAAACATATGCTGGCTAAGTTGGTGGTTCATTCCGTTGTGGTGACCCCTGATAAATAATGGGATAAGCCGAAAAGAAAATGAATGAATGATATATTTATGTAGTTGTCCATTTATCAAAATCAATATTTTTCCCCACCCCTACTTTTATCAACTTGTGTTGTTTGTTGGGATGTTATTGGGCTAGTTTTGACTAGGCGTTGGGATGGTTTTGTCTTAAAAGCATGGCCTCCTTGAATTGTGACCTCAAGGACTTATAGATACATGCACAGATATTGAGTAAAATGTGGGCTGAAAATAAAAAGATAAGAGGCTAAACCTGCTTGTCATCATCCATATTTGTTGCTAACACTCTACACTTAGTGACCGCAGTGGAACTAATGAATTGCCAGGCCTCTCATTGAATAAGCTTGAACTTTCTACTTTAGTGGCTGCAGCATCAGCATGTCTACATCCAGCATTTCTTGTCTCTGCCATTTCTCAGCATGAATTTCACTTTATATGAATTTCCAGGAGCTTTTAGACTTGATGTAGGATAAAATCAGTGGTGAGGTTTTTGGTTTGAGCATACACTTAAATCCATCTCCGCTTGTAAGCTTTTTTCAGTACCCTAAACTTTTCAGTGCCTCTACTAAACCTCAAAGCTAAAGTTGGTTTTTGCCTAGTTTTTTAAAGTGCCATTCATTCTCAAGCATCTCAGGCCATTTTTATTCTTATCTTATCACTTAGAAAGAAGTAGTCAACACTTATATTCCCTCTTGTTGCCCTTCAACTGACAGTTACGGCCAAAAGCCTTACAATGTGGCATTGTTTCAGTATTTTGTGTCATGAGTTGTGTTAAAATAGCAACATTCAGCACTCGTAGCTTCTGATATTACACTGTGCACCTAAAATAATGGCCCCCATAGTCTAAAATGTCAAAATAACTGATTACAAATTTCAATAATAGACATAATTTATGTCATAAATAGACCTAATAGATGAAATTTTAGCATTATATTATTGTTACATAATAAATATTATGTTATATTAAGTCATAATAGTCATAAATCCCAGGGCTCCATTTAATCACATTAGCTTTTTTATTTGTGTATGGATATTATGTTAGGTGGTTCATTCCGCTGTAGCAACCCCTCATAAATCAGGTACTAAGTCGAAGGAAAGTGAGTGCGTATGTACACCCATACACTCTCATTCACATACATACAGTACACTATGGCCAATTTAGTTTTTTTAATTCACCTAAAGCACATGTCTTTGGAATGTGGGGTAAACCAAAGCACCTGGAGGAAACCCACACCAATATGGTTAGAACATGCAAGCTCCACACAGAAATACCAACTGGCCCAGCCAGGACTCGACCTTTTTGCTGTGAGGCGACAGTGCTAACCACTGAGTCACCGTGTCACCCCATTATTATTATTATCATTGTTATTCATTCATTTATTTTCTTTCTGGCTTAGTACCTTTATTAATCAGGGGTTGCCACAGCGGAATGAACCGCCAACTCATCCAGCATATGTTTTACGCAGCGGATGCCCTTTCAGGAAAGGAAAGTGAGTGAGTGAGTGAGGGTTATTAAACTGATGAGAAAGTAATTAATGCAATTATTACATTGTTGTGTATGTAAAATATGCTTGGGTTTGTTGCACCTAATGAGCACAGAGTCATGTCCTTCATCTGCTAACTTGGGCACAAGAAAGCCTCCCCTTCACATGCAGAAGGACATGTTGCTGTCATGGCAACCTCGCCATGTTTCATCGCAATCATGCCACACTTCCTTGACACTTCCACGCTGAGCTCACGCACACAGGATCACCATCACAGAGTGTTTCCTTATGCTACACATTTTCACACCTTCGTACATCTATCCTCTCCTGGTGAAAATTGTCGATTTAAACACCTCCTCTCTAATTCTTTGTTAACTGTGTCATTATCTGAAATCATTTACATGGATAGTTTATCTAAAAGCTAATACCCTCTCATCATTTTTGAACAAATCATTATAAACCTTAATTTGTGCTACACAGAAAATATATCTAAATTTCTTTGTCCATATAATGGATTATATTATTTATGAGTGCATGAGTAGTATGATTATTATTGATTAACAAAAGTGATATTAGCTTTAAGTGTAGTATTAATTTATCATAAAATATCTGAAACACATGTATGACAAGAAAAATATCAAAAATCATCTACAGGTTTTTGTAAGTATAGGCAAAAGAGTAGTGTTATAGTTGCAATTATTTTTCTTATTATTATTAGTATTATTATTATTATTCATTCATTCATTATTTTTCTTTGGCTTAGTCCCTTTATTCATCAGGGGTCGCCATGGTGGAATGAACTGCCAACTTATGTACTACCTTGGTTTGACTAAAACGTCCATTTAAACCAACATTAGGTCATTTCCAAAAAATGTTTGTGCATTCATTAAGGAATGATAATATTTTCTGAATTATTATTTACACAAAATATTCTGTTCATTCAAACAATCTGTTAAGTGAAACAGTCATAATCAACTCTTCTCTTGTAAATAATAATTGTATTTATGTATAATATATCATTATTTTAAAACCAAAAGCCAAATTGTTTGATTGCTAAGGTGTTTAGAAAATCATGATAAGCTGCGCTAAAGCACATCTTTTGTATGATTGACTGAAAAGTTAATTGAAAGTTAATTGAAACAGCCTAAAAATGGGAATAATGTTATAGTTAAAGTCACTCAAAAGTTTATTGTCAATTCAACCACGTGCAGGACATATGGGGAATCGAAATTGTGTTACTCTCAGACCCTTTGTGCCTAACATATAATATTAATTCAAAAAGTGGAATTTTAAAAAAATTACAATAAATACAATTAAACATATGAAAGAATCTAAATACATAAGTAAAACGTTTACATTTGTAAACGACACAATTACACTTATGGGAACATAGCATAATTATAACAATTATTATTTCACACACACACACACACACACACACATATTATAATTACATTTCTATAATTATATTTTAAGTGGACCACCACTTTAACTCCTCCCATCTTCATTTTCATATTATTTTTTGTTAACCTTCACCTCTAGGTGGTCTCTTTCTGAGTGTTCTGAGGAAACTCCGTGTGTCCCAATCCCTCCCTCCCTCTCGCGCCTCAGCACCGCTCCCTCGGGCCGTTCCCGTGACTTTCAGCACCACGGAGAGCACCGATCTCCAGCGCGCTCGATGTATTCCCCCACAAACAGTCTGCAGAGACTGAGAAGCCGAGAAGGGCAAAGAGAAAAGCGATTATCCCGATCACTGCAGAGAACAGACTGTTCCTTTAAGAGAGAGAGAGAGAGAAAGAGAGAGAGGAAGATGGCGAAAGAGATAGAAGATTAAAAAATGCTATTTAATCACTAACTATTTGTATTGTGCTCATCCTGATACTTAATTCGAGCTGCATGTTTAGTAAATGCTCTTTGCAGTTACTCCAAATCGCCAGTTCGATTGCACGGCGCCGCGCAAGGACGTACGCGCGCGCGCACACACACATACACACGACCGCACACGCTCGCTCGTTCTCCCGGAGTCGCGCGCACACACACACATCGCCTCACACGCGTACGGCACTGCCTGCGAAAACCAGCTGGAGAAAACGAGCTCAGAGAGAAAGAGAGGGAGAGGAACAGAGGATAAACGCGAGAGAGCCAGACAAAGAAAGGCAGGGACGGACGGAGAAAAGGAGCGAATAGAAGCGCGACCGGCTACGGGAGAGGCGAATTACGCGGAGTGAAGACGAGAGAGGAAGGAGGAGGACCGGGAGGGTGGATCAGGAAGCAGGCTGTGGCTCTCTCTTGTAGGCAGCGGAGCGCGGTGAAGGCATTATGGGAAATGCACCATCCCAAGGTATGTCAATTCATTCGTATGTGGCAGGTGTTTTGCTCTTTACTGTTTGGTGTTTTTTGCCCCCTTGTCCTCTGTTTTTGGCGAGGGGGTGGGGCAAGGTGGGGTTGGAGGGTGTGTGTCTGTGTGCGTTTGTTTTTTCTACAGTGATCCTACATGGTGGTTTATGACTATTATATAGTGTTTGTTGGATCCAAGGGCTTTGCTGGAGAGCAGGGTGTCTAGGGATGGGAGTGATAAGGCTGGCTCAGTGGGTGTGGAGGCTCAGGGATAAAAAAGGTGGATGGGAAAGAGGGAGAGGGAAACAACCGTCACCTGATGATGTTCTGCTTAATGCATGGATGGACATGAGTGTATATTTGTGGTTTTATTTATTGTGCCATGTAGGAGAACATGTAGGAAGCAAAGGCAGTTATCACACCCATTACACGAGCATGTGCATGTGGTGAATTCTGAGGTGCTAGTGAAGGCAATGGCTATTTGAATGCTGAGGATTAAACTTTTCTTTGCACAACTTGTTTTTAATTATTTGCTCTAAAGACTTTAAATCTTGGCGTTTTGAGTAAAAGCATGTTGCTCTGTTGATATGACTTTTCTAAGAATTTAAATGTACCTGTGCAATTTTTTATTGTTATAATATTTTTTTTTTGGGGGGGGGGGGATTTCCCCTTTAATGGACATTACTTTAGAGTGTGTTGTCAGGAAAGCATGGGGAGCAGAGAGAGGGGAGAGATCAGACTGCGAGGCGGGAATCAAACTCGGGTCGCCGTGAGCGCTGAAGTGCATGTAACCACTACACCTCTTGCGCCAACACCTGTTGGATTTTAAACAATGGAAAACATGCATTTTTTATGGGATATCTAACACAAAACTTAACATTTTGGCATTTACACATACTTGACAGTTATTTTGAAGTACATTTTGATGCATACAGTGACAGTCAGAAAGGCCTAAAACAGCACTGGAATCCCAGTGACTTTTATTTTAAGCACAGTATTTTCTTTGAAATACTAATTTTGTTCATCAAGGTAATTTAATGATAACAATATTATCATATTCTATCTCTGTAAGTATAACACAGTATGGCACCCATCCAGAGCATCATAAGATGCTGGGAAAAGCATTAAGGAGCAGCCATATTGCCAAAATTTCTCTAAAATATTGAATGTCAGGGTGAAATACTGGCACTGTCGCCTCACAGCAAGAAGGTTTTTTTTTCGGGCCCCGGCTGGGCCAGTTGGCATTACTGTTTGGAGTTTGAATGTTCTCCATGTTTGCGTAGGTTTCTTCCGGGTGCTACGGTTTAACCCACAGTCCAAAGACATGCACTATAATTGAATTAACTAAATTGGCCGTATTTGAATGAGTGTGTCTGAATGTGTATGGATATTTCCCAGTGCTGGGTTGCAGTTGGATGGGCATCCGTTGTGTAAAACATTTTGTCACCTTGGAAATATAGGGTTTAATTTGCATTCTAAATGATTTTGAGATATTGAAGGTCCAGGTTTTTGCATTACATATAGTAAACGATATTTGTGTAACAGTTCTCTTTAATACATTAACATGGCAGAGACCCTAAATGTACGCTAAATGTAAATTATCGAAATTTTCTTACATTTGCAAATTGGGGTAAAAAACTGGGCCAGTGCAGATTGAAGCTTATAATTCCAAAAAGTTATATCTGGTAGATCATTCATTAAAGCATAACTTATAAAGAAATACAATCAGTCTGCTTATTAATTAAAAAAAAATGGTGTTGTAACAATATGTTGATATTTGAGAGTTAATTTTTTGCTTTCACTTAACATTTATTTAATTAAATTCATGGGACATATCATTCAATAAAAATAATTCAATAGTTCTTATAAAGCATATAATTAAATAAATATGACCATATTAATGACATAAAATTAACATATGCTCTGGATAAAATATTTAGCACAGTCTTGTATGCTTAATTCCAACAAGCGAAAATACTCATCCTAAAACATTAAGTATTTGCCCTTCAATGCTTAAAATCAAATTTAAAGATTTTAAATGAAAACAGTCAATAAGCAAAGGAGCTGTAATAAACTGAAAAAAGTTTCACTGACTATATATACACATACAAATATTTCACATTTAAAATCATATCATGTTTCTTTATCAACAGTGTAAAATTTAACATTTTATCTTAATTTATGCTTCTAAATCATCACATTTACACACATCTTTTTTTAGTTTCAGGTTTTTAGACAGAAAGAACCCTATAGAGCCAAGTTAGAGTTTGACTTTGTAGATCTTTGTAGACCTTTTTGTTTTTTTTTTAAATCAAAAAAGTCATAAAATGTAAACAACTTATAAAAAACATCACATAATGTAAATAAGTTGTCATTTAATAATTTTATGTAAATAACTAAATTTTAATAAGGATGTCAGATAGAACCTTACAATTCTAACGTGAGGACATACTGGATAAGTCTGCATTTTATTATTCTGTGGCGACTACTGGTGAATAAAGGGACTTAGCCGAATGAAAATGAATGAATGAATAAATGAATGAATGAATGTCAGTCCTTTACAGGCAGCTCAGAAAGAGTACACTTTCAAATCAAGCATCTTTCAGTGTGGTGAACTTACATGATTATCATAAAAATAACCAAAATCTGTGAAACTTTATCACTTGCACATGAAACGTCAGATTAAAGAGATTGCCATCTATAATAATTAATTTTGTTTCGCAACACCCTTGCCTTTACACACAGGTCAACAGTATAGTAGTGAGTTTTGCATGGCCAAACATTCACATTTCCTTGAGATTGTATACATACAAAAAGCATAGTCTCAGATTTCTCTTTAAGCTTGTTTTTCACAGTTTCAAAGTCACTCCTCCAGGTAGGAGGTTGCAAGATGGTGGCAGAAAATAACAACAAAAAATAAAGCAGAAAAAGATAGAAAAAAGCCAAAGAAAGAAAGATGGACAAAGAAGAGCTTAGAGGCATTTGTCCCTGAAGTCTGCAGGGAGAAGAAATAAGGCATCACAAGAATGATAGAAAGATTTCATACGAGGGTTGAGACAGAAATGCTACAAGAGAAGAGCATAAAAATTCTTCAGCTGAGAAAAAGGCATATACAGAGGAGATGAGAGATGGGTGGAAACTAGAGGAAAGCTTGTTTGGAGTGAGACTGAGGAAGGCTGGAGAGAGTAGGAGAGAAGGAGACTGGATGCTGAAGGCATAACCGCACTCTCTTGGGACAGACCGGCTTTGGTAAGCACGAAAGGGAGGGTGAGATGCCTAAAAAACGAGGAGTGAAAAAGGATGGAGACTCATCACATCAACTAAACTCAGATTATATAAAGAATGGTTGGACTAAAGTCCTAACATTTTCTCTTTCTGTTAAACCAACAGCAAAGACCCAAAAGAAATGGACAGCAAAGTTATTTTTCTTCAATTTCGGGTTAAGAAGATGTTTGAAAAACTTGAGCGTAATTGACTTGAAATGAATTATGTGCCGCATGTTTTCCTCATTCATTCAATCATTCTCTTTTCAGATTATTCCCTTTATAAATTAGGGGTCGCTACAGTGGAATGAACCGCAATGTTATCCAGCACATGTTTTACACAGCGGATTCCCTTCCAGCTGCAACCCATCACTGGAAAACACCCATACACTCTCATTCACACATACACTACAGACAATTTTTAGCTTACCCAATTCACCTATAGTGCATGTCTTTGAACTGTGAGGGAAACCATAGCACCCAGAGGAAACCCTTGCGACCATATGAAGAACATGCAAACTTCACACAGAAATTCCAAGTGGCCCAGCCGAGGCTCAAACAAGCGACCTTCTTGCTGTGAGACGACATCGCGCAACCCCCATGTTTTCGTCTTTATATCTAAATAAAAATACAACAAAAATTTCAGCTGAGAGAAAACAGCATTTAATGTGAAAATACTGTATGAATCTGATTTGATCAGGTGTGTCTAATTAGGGTCAGAACTAAACTGTGCAGAGCTGCACAGGAACTGAGCTTGACACCTGGTTAACTCAACCAATTAATAATTTACATAGAGTTTATTGACCACATGAAAAGGACTATTTGTTTTTTTTACATTTAAAGTATGTACTCAGAATTTTGTTCATGCATTTGTGATCACATTTCTCACTTTATTTAGAACTTTAGAAAAAAACATTTGATTAAAGATGTAGAAATATGAAATGCATATTAATAAAATATAAAACACTTAAAAAAACATAACTACACGTCCAACATAAAAAAAAAAAAAGATTTGCAGAATGAAATGCAAAATGTAAACATTGCACTGTCAAGATCACAACTTTCTCACAATGCTATTGTTCATGTTTCTGTCTGAATCTCTATAATGATGTGTAATATTATGGGATTTTGTTATTTTTGTTATGTATTTTGTTATACCCCAAAATAAACAATGAAGCATGATGTGAAACGATAAACTTTTTAAAAATTTTGTCCACAATATACATATTGTCATATTGCACAGCTCTATAACAGTAAATAATATTTGCACTCACGGTCACACCAGCAAACAATTTATACTAAACCCATGTGCTGAGTTTCAAAGTATTAAAAGTGGATGTAATAATATACCGTTTCTCTACATTTTGTTAAGACACTAATGTGAAAACAGACTCTGTTGATTAAATGAGATCCTTCATATACCAGCAGAGTTGAGTTAGGTATAAACAGAGGTTAGAGCTAGCTCTGAATGGGTATGTCGGCTCCAAATGTGTGGGACTTGTGGGACTACAAGTGGGCTGTGCAAAGTTATTTATGTCTTGTGCATGACACTGAGTGCAACATGTTGTGTTTTATTAATGTCCACACCTACCCCAGTGCTAAACCTAACTCTTATAGTAACCTGTTGTGTTACTTTTACATTTAGTCATTTATTTCCAAAGCAACTTACAATTGAGGAGGCATGCAGGGATTCAACAAAAAGAGGCAATACACACAATTTTTTTATTATTATTTTTTAAAG